GACTTGTGAACACTAACAATTCAATGGAACTACGTAGATAAACTTCCATAACCCTCTCCCAGTAGAAGGGGTAGTTTATAAATGTTGGAGGTATCCCACACTGTACAAAATTTTAGAATTCACGAAACAACAAAAATGGGATGAATAACATTGTTTTTAAATGATATATTTTTTTTCTATCCCATCTTAGCTGTTTTCTGAAATTTAAAAAGGGATAGTTTGTTTCGAGGATTTATATCAGAAATAAGTTTTCATTGGAATTAAAGAGAACTTGTTATAAGCCATATGATTTGTTTATATTTAAGGTTTTGTTTTTATTCTAAGAAAAATAAGTAATCAAAGTGTATTATTCTAATAAATATAATAATTTCTCCAATAGTATCCAACAGTGTTACTGATTAAATACTATTGAATATCGTTGAATCTCTTAGATTTTAAAATGCAAGAAAAGAAATGCTCTGATGGTATTGGTCCTTACCGACAGAATCAATATTATTTATTTTTTTGCCCTTTGAAACCTGTTTTCATTCATTACATTATATGCTGTGCGAGACTTAGATTTTTTCCTCTCTCACGTAAATTTAATGTTTTATGATAAAACGGAAATATGTATTAATTACCAAGTTCTTCCCCTATTAATATATTTTAAAATAATAATTTAAAATGATCAATGGCAGTATCTAACCGAGTTAAATCTCTTAGAAAGTAAATAATATTTTACTCTAGGTGTAAACTACTTTCAGCTTTGATTTAAAATTGAAAGGAATGGTATATATAAATTAATTTTTCATACATATGCAGTAGGTGGCAGTATAGTTGTGGTGCTGTCTTTGCCAGTTTTTCACATCATAATAAATTCTTTATTATCCTAACACCTACGACGTAGTTAGTGATGATAGAATTTGTTTGAAATTCGTCACTCATTAATAGCTTTGTGTTTAAATATAGTGTTATTATATCTTTTTCTAAGTTCTTTACCTCATGTTAATTAGTTTTACTTATTCATAGATGCTGTTTCTTTGAATTTATTATATAGACATTCTTTTTAAAATCTATTTATATCTGCATAAATTATATCAAAAAATAATTTTATAAAAGACAAAATCTAAAACTACCATAAGTCAATATACATTTTAAAGTTTGTTTCCCTATGCTTTCAAGATATTGATGGAAATAATACATCATTTAATTTTTCTCAGACACGTTTGTGCCCAGAAATCAGTTCAATACAGATTTTATTTGAACCAGTATTTGTTCCTAGGTGCTACTTATGAATTTCGACATTGAAAAGATAGTTACATTTTATTTATACGAAATCTATATCTTAGTAATGAATTGACTTTAGAATGTCCATACTCTTCTGTCTACTTTAGTGTGTGAATTTGTATTATCTTTCCAAATGAACACACACACAAACTACAACGATGAATAAACTTTTGAGGTTTTATTCACAAATGACAAGACGTAAATCTTCTGATACATCAATGATATATTCCTTCGCAAGATGCGCCAAGGAACTTTTCTTTTTACCTGAGCTTGAAATATTGCTTTAAAGGCACTCTACCGACAAAATATAGTACGCGTGCCACAATTATTTCAATTATTATATAAATACGGTTCTTATATAAAAATGCTTCGTAAATGAAATGCTATAAAGCACAAATATTCTGTCGTGAATTACTTGATCAAAAATAAAGATTATCATAATAAAAGTTTACAATAACTTTATTAGTTTAAATATGTTAAATGTATAACTATTTGCGAAATGTTGGAATATTAAAGTTTAATTGGATATTTTGAGATGAGTGATGCTGACAATAAATATTTGACTTAATTTTTAATAATTTCGTTTTTTAGCTCTGCTTTTAACGGACACATTACAATATCTAAATTTGTAGAATTATTAAACTCACGTTATAATGATTTCCAATTAGCATAAGAGAAAAATCAAGTTGTGATATTACACATTCGGTAATCTATCACATCATTTTTATCTTACAATTTAAACGAATAATCAATATTCTAAAGTAATAAAAAAATATTTTACCTAAAAACACTAATACAAAACAACACAAAGGTAACTGGAACTTTTCATGCGTAGTTATTTAATATATTAACTAGTAACAATTACATGTAGAATAATACTCCAAAATTAAAAAAATACACTTGTATAATTATTCTGAAAAACCGAGATCTAGTGAGCTTATGTACAAAATATTCGTAAGTAGGAACTCAAGTAAGTCATCACTTTAGAAATAAATAAGTTTCTTTGAAGAGGTGTGAAATAGAAAATAGTTAGAGAGAAAGCTTAGCTTCAACACTGGTAAATATATATTTCACACAAGTTTTGATTTTGTGATTGATAAAGCTCGAATTACATAAATACATAACGTTTAAGGATTGAAACATACTGTCATATAAACAGCTTTATTTTTTGACAGAATAACGTTGAATTTCTAACACTTCCTAGATCAGGATATTGCATACTGGAAAGATAGTCTTCAGAAATTGTCAGACAAATTTGTGAAATGTCCGATATATAGCACTTAAAATATAAATCAAGTTACAACAAAGAAAAGTCTAAATTAAACACATTCTGGAGGAAATATATGGTGCTACCGTAAAAAAAACTACGTTGCAAAAACACATTCAAGTTAGACCATTCATGAAGATATGATAAATTCGGGTATTTGTTGAGCTTTTCCTTTATAACTGACGAAAATTTGAACGCCCTCAAATACCTTTATTTAGCTTATACTGGCTAATTGTACATAAACATTAAAACCAACATATGAATTTGTTTGCTCGTTTTTAAGTACAAAGCCATACAAGGTGCTTATCTGTGCTCTGCCAAGACGAACTGTTGAAATAGCCATAGGTGTTGAAAACTGGAAATTATTCTAAGCAGGAGTAAAAAAAAAAAAGAAATACTGAAGGTAAATGACAAACTTTGTATAAATTATTAAATGCACCAAAATAAATTTGTGTAATTTTTTTTTATCGATAAGCCTTAAAGACTTTCCCGACTACAGAACAAGGTTGAAAATAAAAATGCAAAGGATTATGAATTAACAAACGTATAGCTATATTCCAAACCTTGTACTTAAAAGGAGTTTTTGAGTTATACTGTTTTAAAAACGCTGCCTGGTATTCATTTAATAAATAGTTTGCGTATTTTATTTTCACGCTCTTTTTTGATTTCACTCTTACCAAGAACGGAACTTCTAACCTTCAAATGAGATAAAACAATTGCAAATATAAAACATCTAATTTACCATCAATAGTCAGGTAAAGCAATACATGTCCCACACTTCAACTACCAAAATCATTTTCATGTTGCAGTTTATTTTTGGTAAAGTTTTTAACATGCAAGTATAGTTTAAACCCTAACCCATATAAAGGACTCCCATCGCTTTACACAAGTCCAGGCCCCCCCAGTGGCACAGCGGCATGTCTGCGGACTTACTACGCTAGAAACCGTGTTTCAATACTCGTGGTGGACAGAGAACAGATAGCCCATTGTGTAGCTTTGTGCTTAACTTCAAAAACAAACACAAGTCCAAATGAGTCATGTTGTCTTGGTTTTATTACTCAACAATTAACTTTCACCTAGATATTCTAACGCTGTACGTTATTTCGTGTAGGATCCAATGAAATAAGCTAAAACTGAGAAATGGACACGTTAATGTTGGTTTGTGGTGTCTTATCATAACACACAACTGTACGTTCTTTTGAATTCAAAATAATTTTGGGAAAAATTCTAGTTTACATATAACTCGTATGACAAGAATTAAAATAGATAAAGCCCAAATAAAACACTAAAGAATAACCTATAAAATGCTACATAATAAATTTAAACCCCATTCAGTTATTAAGATAAAACAGCTTTCATTACATCACTTTCTGAAATAATGTTTGATACAACTTGAATTGCAGTTAGGAGTAAGAATACTGATAAAAATGGCAGCACATAAACTTTATAGTATACATGTGCATTTTAGTTTTCAAACAATGACTACATTCTCTCAGATTTTGTTAATACAACTTCCTAAAAGTTAGAGATGTGTTAGTGCATTGTTAAGAAAGAGTGAGCCTGTTTCAGGCAAAAAAAGAAAAAGTAATAATGGCACTTCCATCGACCTCTTAACTAAACATCGTAACATTTTCACATACCCGAAGGTTAGGAAGCAAATTGGAAGCATCTTATATGAACGTGATCTTGTAACCCTTATTTGATAGCAGTTAACGACTACACCAGGAAATAACAGCACAAAATTCACGCACAATTAGAACAGTTGTCATCTATTAAGTACAATAAAAATACAAAAACTTTCCATTCACTTTTAAGAATGGTTGTGCGATACAAACATTCTATGATCAAAACATAAAATTTATACAAGTCCAAAGAACGCTGGCAACACCATAACTATGTTGATTTTGATTTTGCTCTGTCTCTACTTTCTAATTAGAGAAAGGCGGAGACTGACTAGCGACAGCACTCTCAAGCTTTCATTTTTGATTGAAATTATTAAATCTAGTCTAAGATCATTCACACACGTCACAATTTTATATAATTAAATATATGTATATAGTCGCGCAACTCATTTATTCTAAACTACAATGCGTATGAGAACCAGTCTTCATGGATCCTAAATTTGATTTTATCTGAATTTTTACGAAACAAGTGGTTCGAAATGAGAGCATCTTTCTCTCAAGATGCCAACGTGCAAATTGAACTTTCAGCACAGCTATAAGAGGGGTTTGATAACTGACAGTAGGTGTAGTTAAAATTAGTAAACAAGATCATCACAGTCCAAGTAGATTCCAGTAAATAAATAAATGGTAAAACACACATTCGAGTCTGCTAAATGTAACCTAAACATAAAAGTTAGGAAATCAAATAGAAATAAAAAATTTCTCTTTAAACGTAATAAAAAAAATTTACAACTCCGTAAAACAACTATTAGTTCCACCTTTTCGGATTAAAACTGCATGTTAAGAGCGCACAACACGTTTTACTTCTATTTATTCAACTTCGATGATACATTAAAAACATTAAAAGCTAGGTTTCACAACGATATACTTTCTGGTCAAAACTTTGTTCCACGAAAAACAAACATCACACAAAAATGAGGTAGGCTTAAAAGAGATATTATATATTCATACCAGATACGTTGGTACAAAGGCCACACTTAACAGTTTCTCTGTCAGAACACCAATAGTTTGAAGTTTCATTGGTGAGCAACTCGAGCAATGTGTAAAAAAAAGGAGACTTTATCTTTGTTTTGTTGGCCACACATGTTACAAGTGAAAGGGTCTTGGTAACCATGGTAACCCATGTGCATGGTATACATGATACAATCTATAAACGCCATATCGCAGTAGCTACAAGTGTAAGCGTCTTGCCATTTTGACTTCTCTTCTTCATTTTTGGGACTAGGAGTTTTCTTGGTTTCAGTCCCGTTTTGTCTAAGAGGCAAGGAAGATTGAGATGGGGAATAGATAGGTCTCTCTTGCGTGGTACCGTCTGTGGTCAGACCATGACATATAAAACTGGGGTAGTATCCTTTAGAAATTATCACATTATCATTGTGCGTTGTGTTTAACCCGTTACATCTAAGAAAGAGAGACGACATCTGGTTGGGAAGCGCACTGGACTGATCTGGCATCCTGGTCACACTCATAGGGTTGGCCACTATCAATTGAGGAGCAGGCTTACTTATTCTAGTAGTTTCTGTCGAGACACTTACTGGATCGATATGGGAGAGATGTTCCCTTTCTAACACTTTTCGCTGAAGAGCATTGACAACAGGAGCTTTGTAAGTAGGTACTGAGATCACATTAAGGTCGCCTGGAGATTTCATTGAAAATACTTTTCTTGATGCTTCTGCCGTCGTGATTTGTTCATCTTCCACATCCTTATCACATTCCATTAAATTTTCAGCTGGATATTTATCTTCGATAACAAACTGGCGGCGATCTAATTTTACCGCCTTTCCTTTTCTGCGATTTCGAGAGTTGGAAGACGGAGCAGAAGTGTTTGTAAATTTTACGGAAAAAACTGTGGCTGGAAATTCTTTTGAGGAAGAAAGGGAAAGATGTTCATCAAATTTGGGGAAGTGGAAAGACACTGGCTGTGAAGGAGCAAGGTTAAGAGTGTGTGAAGACACTGGCTGTGAAGGAGCAAGGTTAAGAGTGGGTGAAGACACTGGCTGTGAAGGAGCAAGGTTAAGAGTGGGTGAAGACACTGGCTGTGAAGGAGCAAGGTTAAGAGTGGGTGAAGACACTGGCTGTGAAGGAGCAAGGTTAAGAGCGTATGAAGACACTGGCTGTGAAGGAGCAAGGTTAAGAGCGTATGAAGACACTGGCTGTGAAGGAGCAAGGTTAAGAGTGGGTGAAGACACTGGCTGTGAAGGAGCAAGGTTAAGAGGGTGGGAAGAAACTGTCTGTGAAGAATTAAGCTTAGAGGATTGTGAAGATAAGGGCTGTGAAGGATCAAGCAAAGAGAAGTTCGAAAGGTTTGACTTCGAAGAAGCTTGCTCAGGGGAGAGTGTGGAGAATGGTTGTAAAGGGGAAGACTTTGGGACAATTAACGATGTTGATGTTGAATTGTTTGCCTGAACTAAAAGTTGGGCGTGAACTTGAGACGGAATTGAGCTTGAAGTCTCTTGGTTAGGCTTTGAACTATCGCGGTTACTACTAAGATCTAAGGGGGAAAGTGCATCTGGCTGAACTTGATGGGATTCTTTTATTGGAGATACCGGGCCAGAGAATACCTCAGACTGAATCACAGATGTATGACTATTAACTGGAGCAGTCAACACAGGAGGAGAAGCAAGGGCACATTTTAGCCCTTGGGAAAAATGAGAAAGCACAATCAGATTCTCTGGTTCTGTGCATTTAGGGGGGAATTGGAATGATGAAACTTTTCCAGCTAAGCCTCCTGATACATAATCAGTACTATGAGGTGATATTTTTCTTTCCGGGGGTTTGGGACTCTCATTTCTCAGACTGTAATTCTCTCTCTTTTCATCTTGATCAACAAAGTTCTCTTTTAAGTCTTGTCTTCCATTAACTGGTATTGGATCTTGTATTTGTAACAGACTCTCTGATGTAATGCCATAAAGCTTGCAAAGATCTTGGTTATCTGAAGCCACGTGCACTAGCATGTGTTTGCTAAATACATCTTTGATTTCTGTAGTAAAATCACAAATATTACATTTTTGTCTTACAGGATTTATTTTAGGAGAAAGAGACCTTTGAACATCTATTGTGTTTACTGGAGTTGAATCTGAAAATAATCCATTAGGAGGTTGTACTGCTTTCTGAACTAATGGCTGGAGTAAAAACATGTTTCTGTGAAGGCCGTTAGTAGCATGAGGAGGATATGCAAATGGAAACCTCGTGGGAGAAGGTATGAGTGTGGGCATGGGGGGGTAAGTGGCTGGTGGTGGTTTTCTCGGAGTCATTTGAGTCACAGATGTATTTGGACTCTGGTTCAGCGACGGATAATGATGTTCTTCTATTTTCTGTTTCTTTGGTCTTGGACCTCGTTTTCTCCCATAGACATCAATAATTGGGAAGGGATTTGGCGTTCCATCACGATTTAGAATTGTGGCTGGCTTGTGGGAGTATTTTCGCAGATGTAGCTTTAGGCTGTGACAGTACTTGGAGGCATAAGAACAATCGGCACATCTATATTGATAGATGTTGGAGTGAGATTTCATGTGACTGCTCAGCATCGACTTGTTCACACAACTGTAGTTACAGTTTGGGCACTTGAAAGGTTTGGAGCCGAAATGGTTCCGAAGGTGATACTCTAGATGGTGTTTGTACTCAGTTACAAAAGGACACTTGGGACAGGTCAGAAGCTTTTCCGTTTTGATATGCGTCTTGCAGTGTTCCCAGAAGTCAGTCTTCTTAACAGAAATGTATTCGCACTGTTTGCAGCGGTAGTGGCGGAGTTTTCCATTTGATGTCCTTGAAAGTGTATCGCAGTGAGTTTCTTTTTTCCTGGGGACTCGCTGCCCATTCCAGCTATCAGGGTGAACTTCTGAGTGAAAATCTTTCACGTGACGTTTGAGCCGGCCCTCTGTCTTAGCAATATAATCACAGAACGGACATTTGTGGTTGAAATGACTGTTCATATGACAGTTAAAATGAAATGTAGACGTCCCAGAATAACTACACAGATGACATCGGTAAACTTCTCCTGTGACGTCATCTTCTCTCATGGAAGGTAATGTATTGGAAATGATCCCACCCTCGCTATTGTTGACAGGTGTTGAATATTTTGTTGATGTGGAATTAATCACAGAGAAACCTAGCTTTGAGTTAGGTACTCCATTCTTCTCTAACACATTGTGTAATTGAGCCAGTGGGTTTGAATACTTGTTCTCGCCATAATTTAGTTCGTTCGAGTCGTTACTGATAGAATTTTCGTCTGTATCTTCTCCAAAAGACACGTCATCCACGCTTACCACACCTTTTTCACTACTATGATTCACAGTAGCAGATTCTATAGGTAGAGCAGGTGAAGAAGTCACAGATATGTTCCCTGGCGAAGTGACCTGGGACAGGCATTCTTGCTGTTCGTGCTCTCGTTGTTTTTCTTCCTGAAAATCTTGGTAACATATTGAATCGGTCTTTAAAGGCTCCGTCAACTGAGATTGCGCTGTGTCGAACGAAATCGGCATGGTTGACCTAATGTTTGTCAACTGTGATTGAGTCAAAGTTCCCGACGAACTCATTCCTTCATACCTTTGCTTTGTTGGTTAATACAATACTTTTTTTTCTACTTTCACATTTTGATAACAATTTTCGACTAAATTTCATAATTTTCCAGGATTTTTTAAAATTAATTTTGTTCCTCTTCAGATTTTTCCTCTGTTTTTTCTGAAATCACCAGCTTCATAGATCCTAAACAAAAATATTTTTTTTCTTAAAAATTGTTAAAAGATCTACTAGTATATTTATTTGACCAAGAACTGCAAATATCAACTCCCACACACACACATATATACATACATACATACATACATACATATATATATGTGTGTGTGTGTGTGTGTGTGTGTGTGTGTGTGTGTGTGTGTGTGTGTGTG